ACTGTCAAACTCCTCTGAGTTAGGCGCGCATATGGCGGTCACTTCCTCAGAGCGCTCCTGGTAGGGCTTCATCATGTTCACATGGAGCATGTGTCGCCCCCCAGTGCCAACGCACGAGCCTTTTATATAAGTGGTGTCACACCATTGTTCTACCACCTTATAAGGGCCCTGCCAGGCGGCCTGCAGCTTATCGTGTCAGACAGGTTTTAAAATCAACACTTTCTGCCCGACCTGAAAGCTATGGTCCCTGGCGCCCCGATCATACAATGTGCGTTGGCGTGTCTGAGCCGCCTGCAAATTCTCGCGTACCGTCTGGGTTAAGGCCTCCAGGCGGTCTCGGAATGCCAACACGTATGGTATGATGGGGGTACCGTCAGTGCTCCTTTCTCCCTCCCAATGCTCTCTGATTAAATCTAAAGGCCCTCGTACCCTGCGGCCAAACAATAATTCAAATGGGGAAAACCCAGTGGATTCCTGCGGCACCTCCCTGTAAGCAACGAGGAGGTGAGGCAGGAATTTCTCCCAGTCCTTGTGGGTCTCTGCGAAGGTTCGGAGCATTTGTTTCAATGTACCGTTGAAACGTTCGCAGAGCCCATTCGTCTGGGGGTGGTAAGGGGAACTAATGACAGGCTTAATGTCACAGAACTTCCAGAGACGCTGCGTGACTTCGGCAGTGAATTGGGTACCCTGATCGGAAGTCCCACCCGGGAGAATATCTGCATCAGGGCTTCCGCTACTGTCTCAGCCTGTATATTCGTCAGGGCCACCGCCTCTGGATATCTAGTGGCATAGTCTACCACTGTCGGGATAAATCTTTTACCTGACGGGCTCGCTTTGTTGAGGGGTTCTATTAGGTCAACTGCTACCCTACTAAAGGGTTCCTCGATTATGGGAAGGGGATGTAACTTGGCCTTGCGCCGGTCCCCCCTTTTCCCCACCCTTTGGCATGTATCGCACGTGTTGCAATACCTGCGCACTTCCTGGCTAATTCCAGGCCAAAAGAAACTTTGCGTTAACCTGTGCCGGGTCCTGCTGAACCCTAAATGTCCAGATAGCGGAATGTCATGTGCTATCC